AAAGGTACAAAAGAGTTTTCAGCTAAACATTAGGAAGTATTTCTTGATGGTGAGAGCTGTTTGACAGTAGAACACACTGTCTTGGAGTGTGGTGGAGTATACTTCTTTGGAGGCTTTTAAACAAAGACTGGATGGCCATCTGTCAGGAGTCCTTTGCATGTGTATGCCTGCATGGCAGGGGGTTAGACTGCATGGTCCTTGAGGCCTCTTCCATATCTATGATTCTATAAGTTCTGAACTATGAAAAACAGCTGAAGAACTCCAAGGAAGCTGAAGGTAGGTCTGAATAACCTTAAGGCACAAGATTGTGGAAGTTAAGCATAGTCAACCCTAATTAATACATGGATGGGAGACCACCAATGAATGCCAGGTGCTGAAGGCTATATTTTAGATGAAGGAATTAGTAAAGCCACCTCTGAGTATTCCTTGCCTAAGAAAACTCAATGAAATTCATGGGATGAGCATAAATCAACAGATGCCTTGAAGGCACATACATATACAAAAGTATGGTACCAATATTTTATATTAAGTCTTATATATAAACTCAGAATTGGACACCTATTTTCAGAAACTTTGGATTGTCTCAAATGAACAAGATGTAAACCTATGATTTCTTAGGGACTTTGCAGACTGCCAGAAATAGTGCAAATTGAGTCCACTGTTAGGGTTAGGGTTAGGGAATCATGGGAATTGTATTTTATTGTGGCACCAGAGTTCTCTGACAGAGAAGGCTCAATGTCTCAGAAAAAAAATATTCCCATGACTCCCTAGCACTAACCCTAACCCTTAAAGTGGACTCAATTTGCACTATTTCTGGCAGTCTGCAAAGGCCCTTAAAGACTATCATTTTACCTAATGCAAGAGAAAGAAAAATGAGAACACTGACTTTTTTTTTTCTCTTTGGAGTAGTTCATTTAAAAAAATTGCTTTAGGCTTTATGTAACTTTTGAGAGAGCAATTAACCTTTAATTGAATCATTTGCAACTCGTTATGTGACTTTGTTCAGAAGTATATTTCTTCTTCTCTGGAGTAATGAAAGCTCTTTGTTATCCAGAATGAATCTTGAGCTGCAGAAAACCAAAATAAATACACAACTTTTAGGACAATAGCTCAGTTTGCTTAATTATCATCCATAAATTGGATGATAATTTCAAATAAAACATTCTTGTGTTTTACATTAATTTTGAATAAAAGTTGTCTTATACAGGGATGCTAAAGAATTTCATTTGGTTTTCATTTTTAATCAAGCTAATGTAATGCCTACTTCCTTGACTAATATGCAGGTTATCCTTAAATTTCAGACTTTTTTTCAAATTTCAAAAGTCACTCAAACTTGCATACAAATGTGTGTGTGTGTGTGTATCAGAATGACATGCAAAATGGTTACAATAGGGAAAGTTGTATATGAGAATACAGGCAGATTCTACATATTTTTTTTAAAGGATAATGGTCAATAAATTGGATGGAAAGAATGTGTGACTAGTGACATACAATACTAATATATGCTGCATATAGACTGGTTTGTATAGTCTTAGCCCTGTGCTACAGCAAGTCTTCACAAGTTTTTTTATGAAAGAGCATGCTATTATACCTGCAGGGAGGGAAGGAACAAATACACTGTGCCAACATCCAAGTATAAGAAGTCACAATAGAAAACCTGCCTTACTAGCTTTATACTGTATGTATTATGTGCCTTCACATCACTTTCAACTTATATCAGCCCTAAAGTGAACTATCATGAGGTTTCCATTGCAAGATTTGTTCAGATGCTTGACATTGCTTTCCTCTGACACTGAGAGTATGTGACTTGCCCCAGATTTCTCAGTAGGTTTCCATGACTAAGCAGGGATTTGAACCCTTTTCTCCCACAATCCTAGGTCTAATCTGCACTGCAGAAATAATACAGTTTGAAACTACTGTAACTTCCATGGCTTAATGTTATAGAATCCTGCTTTTTGTAATTTTGTGGAGATGCTTAGCTTTCTCTGGTCCAAAGCACACTGCAGAAATAATCCAGTTTGACACCGCTTTAACTACCCTCGTTCAATGCTAGGGAATCCTGGGAATTTTAGTTTATTGTGGCACCAGAGCTCTCTCACAGAGAAGGCTAAATGTCACACAGAACTACAGTTCCCAGAAATCCCTGGCATTGAGCCAGGGTAGTTAAAGTGGTCTCAAACTGGATTATTTCTGCAGTGTGTTTTGGACGTCTATCAGAGAGTTCTGGTGCCACAAAAAATTGCATCTGATTGCAATATTTCCAAAGTACAGATTCAGCCCTAGCCCAATACTCAGACCATTAAACCACATTCTCAGGTCTATACTAGATTTATCCCATTCAGAAAATTTGTGTCTGCTGTAGTACTAGCTCTCAGGGATATCAATCCTACTATCTAAGCTTTCTTTAATTTCTGGTGCCAAAAACTCAGGATGAAAGATTCTACTTATAAACCATATGCTTAAACACTTAGCTGCGGAACTACCAATTCAATCAACTATTTGTCTCCCTATGTTTAAGGATGGCTATATATTGAAAATGTATCTGTGTGTGTAAGAGAGAGAGAAAGAAAGGGGGAATGGGAGAAAGAGAGGGAGTGGGAGTGGGAGTGAGAGAGAAAGAGAGATCAATATTACTCATTGTTGTGATCTACAGTCTGTGGTTAGTCTCCAGGAAAGAAAATAAATATGATAATATGTATGTGTATGTGTGTGCATTGTGTGCCTTCAAGTCATTTCCAACTTATGGCAAGCCTAAAGCAAACCTATCACAGGGTTTTCTTGGAAAGATTTGTTCAGAGGAGATTTGCCATTGCCTTCCTCTGAGACTGAGAGCATGTGACGTGCCAAGGACGTCCTGCGAGTTTCATGGCTAAACTGGGAATCAAACTCTAATCTCCAGAGTCATAGTCCAATACTCAAGCTACTATGCCATGTTGGCTCTCAAATATATGATAACAATATGGCTCAAATATGGTGCTAGTGCATGGAATATTGGGAGGGGGAGTTGCTGGTCCATCACATCAGATAAAGCTGAGATGCAGAAATCTTTTGACCAGCTCACCAAACTCAGCCAACATAGCCAATGGAGAGGAACAGTTGACACTGTAATATAGAAACAAGTTTTTCATCCCAGATTTAAAGGATTTACCACTCAGTGTATGCAGAGCAACTATACTAGTTTGAATGCTAGATGCTGGATACAAATCACAGAAAAAGATTATTTATATTTATTTATTTATGAAATCTGTAGATACTTTCTAGGATCATATGCTTGCTTTGGAGCTCACTCGGTTTCTCTAATTTTGCTTATTTTGCTTCTTTAGGTTTGCACATTTCTTGACTCAACATACAGAATATAAAATGCCAGAAGATGGTGAATTTATATTTTATAGAAATTCTATTTATGTATTTTATTGCATTTATATCCTGGATTTCATCTATCTGGTATATAAGACAGCTCCCAATGGCATACGTTTAATGCAAACATTACCTTAAAATAAAGTTAAAGGTAGGTAGACTGCCAATTTAAAGAAAGAATTGTCATTTCAAATTCAGTCCCCAAACATGGATGATTTAAAGCTGGCACTATACCTGGTGCTTTCTGCTATATTTCAGAGGAGAGAACAGGCAAAACCACCTCTGAGTTGTATGCCTAAGAAAACACTATAAAATTTAAAGGGTCACCAAAAGTCGACAGGTGACTTGATGGTATATACACATTTTTAGAGCAAAACACTCCAAGTCTATTCATGAATAGACAAATTTGAGTGATTTCAAATTTTTCTTCCGTGTTAAAAAATTTATGATCTCAAATTTCTTCCTTCATATTTGGGAAGAAATTGTGATTTCGGGGTGTGTGGGGGTGTCAATCCAAGCCCTTATCCAGTCCATCAACTGTTTCAGATATACAAAGGTGAATATCTATCTATTACAACAAATGGGCCTTCATTATTCTCATAGTATAGGTCTATAGCCTTAGCATTTCTGAGCACAACATATGATTCACAATAACATCTCACTCAAATCATTTCCTGTGATCTTGGTAATAACAAGTCTGTCAGATTCATTTTTTATGCTACAGCCTCTTCAATGAAATAGCATTACCATTACAAAATGGAGAATCTTTGGCCCCATTTTCCATCATCAACTCATCTTTAAAGTGACAGATTGCCATAATGAAAGACAAAGGTGTAGAAACAAGATGGCAAATGAAGGGAAAGATGTAGTAAGAATGTCTCACCATGATCCCTGTTCAATTAATCAGGTCTCATAAACAGACTTTAAAAGCTTGTGACATATTTCTTTTCATTCTTTTCAAGTTAATTAAGTCCTGTAACAGCAAGCAGAAAACACTATTCCAAAGCATGAAAAATGAAGAAAACTGGCAGAATATAATACACAAGCCAGCAAAATTACTCCAAAAAACTCCAAGCACCTGAATAGGCATATTATTAGTCATAAGAGCCAAATGAAATGGCAGTGGAAACCTAAATGAAATTGTATCTCTGATTAACAGATGCTGAGGTCAAACAAGATATCCACCACCACAATTCTCTACTTAAAACCTTTCAGAAGCATCTAATGGGACAGCCCACTGTGAGTGTCAAGCTACTTGAGAAATGTAACTAGTAGCTATAACTTTTTATTAGAGTAAGTGCTACAAACCATATTGGGATCCTAGTAGAGACTCAAGCCTTTATTCACTCTGCCATTGTGTCTCTGATACATATAAGGGGGCCCATTGCTCCAGTTTTTATCAGCAAAAAGTTATCTAGTAAACCAAATTGACCCTATTACAGCAACAACAAAAATCAAGTATAAAGGGACAAATTTTGGTTGGGAGTATTGTTGCTGTGTGCCTTCCTTTCTGACATATGGTGACCCTAAAGTGAATCTTTCAAGGGGTTTTCTTGGAAAGATTTTGTTCAGAGCAGGTTTGTCATTGCCTTCCTCTGACACTGAAAGCATGTAATTTGCTTAAGGTCACCCAGTAGTATTCATGGCTGAGCAGGGAATCGAACCCTGCTCTCTAGAGTGTAGTCCAAAACTCAAACCACTATGCCACACTGGGTCTCTGTTTCAGAATATGAGGTTGGGGTGTGGGTAGGTAAAATATTACCCCACCACCTCATTAGTATACTGAACTGGACTGGATCCATTGTTCTTATGCTAGAGCACCACGGGGCAGTGTTGGGCAACTTATGGTCTACAGGCTGCATGTTGCCTCAACCATTTTGTGGTGTCCTACATTTGTAATGGTTGTTTCCTCCCTTAATTTTTTAAAAAAAAAAAAATAGGAGAATAGCACACTCAAAAGTTACCACAAGCCCCTTTCCCAACTAGGCAAGTTCTTAAAACCAAAAGTGACCTTATGTGCTCAGTGTTTAGTACTTTTTGGCAAGGATGGGATGGAGATGTGTAGTTTCTGGTGGAGAGAGGGATGGAGGGCAAATTGCCCTTGAGGCATGTCTAGGTTCACTTCTGCTTTAGAGTAAGGGACAAAGACATACCTACTACATGCATTTTTAAACCATATTGTAAAACTCTAGTCATTGTCAGAAACAGAATATTGTACTAACTGGATCTTAGCTTGCCTGAGCAAGTTGTTTTTTTATCATCTTATACCCTTATAAATTCCTGTGCTATTTAACAGAATCTCACCTAATGTATTGAACTAGTATGAATTTTAATAGGGAAAAATGGAATTTCCAATGTGAATTATTTTTCAAGATGGAAGCCTATAAATTCATTGTCATCAAGAAATGTGTGACAAAGGGCATATTTTGAACTAAGGACTGAAGCGCATATTTTTCTTTGCCTACAATTGAAACTAGAATATAGGTTAGTTGGTGTGCTGGTTTGTTTGTGTTTTGTTCTGTTTTGCTCCTAGCAAAATCCCATTTAGTCATGAGCATAAGTCCAAAAAGCTTTAAAAGAAAGCACATCCCAAACTTGTTCTCAGCATCTCAGGTTGGGTGAAGGTTTTTTTTTTATTGTTTGTTTTTTTGCTGATTTCTACACGTTTTTTTTTTTCTGTTTGGAATTGCACTGTTTCTCTCAGAGGAACATGAGGAGAAACAATCCCAATTTCCACATATGCAGGGGGAAAATAATTGCATTACTTGCTACAGGGCTATTCAAGCCTGGGGAGGAAAAAATTGTACATTTCAACTTTCTACAAGATGACATAGGGATAGAAAATTGCAAACATATGATGGCTAATGGAGCACACCAAGGAATTCCAAGAGAAAATCATCATGTGCTTTATAGATTATAGCAAAACCTTTGACTGCATAGATCATGAAAGACTATGGAATACTCTTAAAGATATGGGAGAGCCAACACATCTGACAGTCCTGATGAGGAATCTGTACAAGAGGCTACTGTCAGAACAGAACACGGAGAAACAGAACAGTTCCCAAATGGCAAAGGTATTAGACAAGGCTGCATCCTTTCACCCTATCTGTTGTATGCAGAACATATTATAAGAAAAGCAGGCTTGGACACAGAAGAAGGAGGAGTGAAAATAGGAGGAACAATATCAACAATCTAAGATATGTAGATGACACCACAGTATTAGCACAAAACCTCACAGACCTGCAAAACCTAATAAGGAAGATCAAAGAAGAAAGTGCTAAGGCAGACTTTATGTTGAACATAAAGAAAACAAAAACCACTGGGGACTTCACATTCAACCTAGACAATGAAGAAATAAAAATAGCAAAAGA